CCTTCTTAAAGTGAAGCGGAGATGTCCACATGTGAAACCCGAAGTCCCAGTTCCCCAGACCTATCCTAGGGGTCAGGAGCTGAGGAAAGCCTGTGTCTCAGGCATGCAGGGCAAGAGTTTCAGAAGACCCAGCCTCTCCCACAGTTCAGGGATGGAGCAGGAAGCAGGATGTGAAGGCAGAGCTGGGTTCTGGAGCTGAGTACCTGAGTTGAGTGTTGGATCTGGGTGCTTGAGCTGAGTACCTGAGTTGGGTGTTGGAGCTGAATACCTGAGTTGGGTGTTGGAGCTGGGTGCTGGAACTGAGTACCCGAGCTTGGTGTTGGGAGCTGGGTGCTGGAGCTGAGTAACCAAGCTGAGTGTTGGAACTGGGTGCTGGAGCTGAGTACCCAAGCTGAGTGTTGGAGCTGGATGCTGGAACTCAGTACCTGAGCTGGGTGCTGGAGCTGGGTGCTTCAGCTGAGTACCTGAGCTGGGTGCTGGAGCTGGAGCTCGCACCGTTGTTTCTTCGGACATCACATGTCGGGGAGGCCAGCTCTCAAGGTGCAGGGTGACCAAGTGTACTGGCCTCGCCCCCTGCCCCATCACCGGGAATAGCAGAGCCGTGTTGGCCTGATGCCTGCCATTCTGAGAGCAGACGTGGGCCCAGAGCCCAGGACAGCAGACTTTTCAGGGCCCCGACTTCTCTCTTTTGAAAGAGCAGCGCCTTGAGGCAGCCCCGCAGGCTCTTCTGCTTGGGCTTCACGGTCCCAATACTTCAGAAGATCTCTCTGAGTCACCATGATGGTTCTCACCACTGACTGGTCTCTGTGAACCCTGACCCCACCATCCCGGGTTACAGGGGACACTAGCCATTGTCAGCCAGCTCTCTGGTGAGATCTCTGCTCCCAGAATGTACATCAAAATGTCAGTTTATCCACATTAAACAAATCAGGCGCTAGAAGATGCCTGGCAGCTGGCATCAGCGATTTCAGATCTCCGTGGTGCCCCCTGCAGCCTGCGAGCTAGTCACCCACCAGCAGCATCCAGTTCACAAACCAGGGCCCCCAAGCGGGCACTGCTGTCTCTGGGTGCGGGTGATGGACTCCTGGGACAGCTCCTCCCAGCCTGGGGGACCGCAGGGCAGGGCACCCACCACAGCTGCCTCCAGCCCAGACGGCAGGGCTTCCGAGCCCAGAGCCTGCTCTGTCTGTCCTTCATGCTCCGCACCAAGCCCCATGCCCAGGAAGGAAGGGAGGCCAGCCCAGGGCGGGCCCCTGCTCCCAGCCAGGGAGGGAGTGGCATGCCAGAGGGGGCAGGGACTGGCACGCCCCCGCCCAGGTCCCACCTTTGGTGACTCAGGCTGGTGGTTCCCACACTGACACAAATTGCCGAGTAAGCAGTCACCCCATCCCTGGGAAGCTCCCCACGCCCTGGGCCCGAGTTCCCCGGGGAGCCCTTGCTGGGAGGAGCTCTGTGCTCTCCAGACCACTGGGCCAGCGCATCACGTGGGAAGGCGCCCTGCCGCCTGGACTGGCCGCGGGGCCGTCCTGACCGCTGTCCTGGAGGATGCTGGGCTGTGGTCTGTCTGCTCCCCTGGGCGGGGCCCTGGCTGGGCGCTGAGCAGGTGCAGTGAGATGGCAGGAGAGGTCTGTCCCCGCAGCCTCTCCAGCCTGGGTTCTTCAGGAGCCCCTCACCAGGCCGTGAGGGTGAGGACCGCATGAGGTGGCCCTGTGCTGGCTCTCACAGAGGCCCTCTGCGGTGACGCTCTGCTGGGCGCGTCTGGGCGGGAGGGGCCGGGTGTGTCCACCTGAAGCCGGTTTGCCCAGCCCCACCTGCCTGGCGAGGCTTGGTCTCAGGATGGGCTAACAGGCAGGACACAGACCTGCTTCTCACCCGGGCCTGCCCTGTGCACCCCGAGGAGGTAGGGGGGCGTGCCTGCGCTCAGGGGCTTGAGGCCCCGGTCCAGGTTGCTTTACTTACTGGGGACTAGCTGCCCACAGGACTGGACTCCTCGCCTCTAAGGACTTCCCGACCTCAGGAGCGGTGGGAAGAGAGCTTACGTCGAGGAGAAGGGTTGGAGAGAACTCAGAGGTGGGCAAAGTTCCCCACTTCTCCACAAAGGAAGGGGAGAGGGAGATAAAATGGGTTACAAGACCTCAGTCATTAGCTGAAGTGGGAGCAGAGCGGGGCCTGGCCTGGCGAGGCTCGCTGGGTGGTTCCGGGTACAGAAACGTGTCTGTCTGGAGCCCCCCGAGATGTCCACAGGCGACTCTCTGGTCAGCTCTGCTCCCAGGCTCTCCCAGGGTTCTAGCCTCTGGCGTGTTCCGATACACCTGAGGCTGGCCTTTCCCAAGGAAGCTTGAGATAGCTAGACCACAGGGCGCGTGCGTGTGTGAGCGTGTGTGCATTGAGCATGTGTGTGAGCGTGTAGGTGTGTGCACATGTGTGTGCATGCTTGTGTGCATGTGTGAGCATGTGTGTCCGTGTGTGAGCATGTAGGCGTGTGCGCATGTGTGTGCGTGAGCATGTGTGAGTGTGTGCATGTGAGCATGTGTGCATGTGCATGTGTGCATATGTGAGCATATGAGCATATGTGCATGTATGAGCGTGTGTGAGCATGTGTGTGCATATGTGAGCATGCGTGTGCACATGTTTGTGCGTGTGTGAGCATATGTGTGCATGTGAGCATATGTGTGTGTGTGTGTGTGTGTGCGTGTGTATGTACATCTCACTGTCCTTTGTAGGCAAAGCCGAGGGCACTGCCAGCAGACCAATGTCTGTGCGTGGGGTGAGCCGGGCGCCTCGGCCTGGCCAGCACTGAGCTGCCTGCTCGGTGGTCTGGTGGGCGGCGGTCTGGTGGGCGGCTGCTCAGGACCCGCGAGGCAGCACTGGGAAGCCTGCGGGGCGTTCTCCCTGGCCACAGTGGCTGTGAGGTGCTCCTGGCGATTAGGGCCTGGGGACCAGCGCAGCACTTATCCCGCAGTGCTCAGGGCATCGTGGACAATGAAGAATTGTCCTGCCCGCTGGAAGAAACACGGTGCGTTCCATCAGAAAGCTGCCTGTGTGGGCGGACCAGCCTCCTCTGCCTTCTTGGAACCCGTGCTCTGAGGCCATGGCGTGAGAGCAGCCCCGCCCATCCTGGGCCACCCTGGGTGAGGGCTCAGCCCCTCCTTTGCCCTGGCAGCCCGTGGTCCCGATCTGAGCGCCAGGGCAGCCTGCAGCGTGAGCCTCACCCTGTGCCGTGCCCCCCAAGTCTCCTCGAGTCGAGCTCTCCCTGCCGCCCCGCACGCTGAGCAGGCGCCCCCCTGTCCTTTGGTGCAGGTAGAAGAAAGGGGCGAAGGTCACAGGCTCCAGGTAGGATGCCGGCATCGGCATGTGCTGGGCTTGGACCCGGGGGCGTCCGAACAAGGACCGGGAGTGTCGTCTCTGAGGACAGGCAGCTCTGGGCTGCATTTCCATTTAAGGCTCAGCCTTTGCTCCAAGGCGCCGCCATCGGCTTCCTCCCCTGAGGAGGGGGTGTGGCCTCTGGCCTGCAGCCTGGGGGCCGGCTTCCTGTTTCTCACTGTCCGCGTGTCTCCGGTGCGCTGCGCGTGTGCCAACCGCAGACACACAGACGGCAGCCCGCCCCACTGACCGCCGTCCCTTCTGGTCCCTTTGCGCCTTCCCCGCCCCACACACCTTTGGGCTTGGCTGGTTTGACCCAGTCTAGGGGCGAGCGCTGCGCCTGTCTGGGTGCACATCGGCCCGGCCGGTGAGCAGAGCGCACCTGAGCACCGTTGCCAGGGTGACGGGGACTTCTGAGCTGGCGTCACCGCTGACCAGAGCTTGACCACAGTGGCTTCCTGCCCCAAAGGCTCTCCGTGCGGGGCGAGGGGGGCCTGGCCGAGGGCTAGTGGCTGGAACTGGGGTGGAGGGGGCTCAGCTGGCTGCCCGACCACACCCTTCTGTGTGGGCGCATGTGTGCACGCGTACACGCACACACACACACTCATATTCACTCACAGGGTGGGGCAGGCAGGCTCTGGGCCCCAGCTTACCCCGGCAAAGCCGAGGGCTAGTTGGCCCCTGGTGCACGCATTTTCTCCGGTTCGCGTGGGTCCTCTGGTCCCACTGCCGGCGAGTCAGAGCCGGCAGGCCAGCGGTCGGCTGCTCGGCTCTGTGAGGGCCTCGCTCTTCGAGCCCCCGGCTCTGCAGGCTCTTCCCAGGGCGCCCGACTCCCCACTGGGCTCACACGGAGCCCTGGGGGCACCTCGCTGTCCTCCAAGTTTGCGGTTCGGTTGAGCCTTGCCCGCCGCTCCCTTGATGCCCGTCTGACGGCACAGCCCTGGCCACCCTGTGCCCGCTGCAGCCCCGGGGCTGCCTCGGGGGCGCTGGGGGCCCAGGAGCAGGATACCCTGCTTTGGCCTTGGAGGGGTTCCCTAGAATGCCTTCTGCCCTGGTCGGCGGGAGGCAGAATGAGGAGTTTAGCAGAGAAACGGCAATGGGAGAGTGCTTTCAGGGTGGGAGCCGTCCCCCGCGGAGCACAGGCAATCTCGGGAGCTGGGGACGTCTGCACAGGACACATGGCAGGGCTGCGGCCGGGGACTCGGGTTCAAGCCCCACGGTTGCACTTCCCTCCATGGGAAAGCCCCTCACCTCCTTGAGCCACCAGCTCCCCTCTGGACCCGGCCCACTGGGACCAAGTCAGCGGCTGTCTAACCTTTTCTGGCTACAAGCCACAGTAAGCCATACGCTTGCTACACAGCCCAGCCCTTTCTACATGTCCTGCACTCATATTTTCTAATTCCAATATATATTATTTGATCCCATTAAAAAAAAAAATGATGGTCACAGTCTGCTAAATTGATTTCCTAATCCATAAGGTGTCACAACCTGCAGTTTGCGAAGTTGTCTATGAGAGGCTGGTGAAGGTTCCCCCCTCACCAGACGTCCCAGGACCCTCTGAGCGTCACCACGGGGGTGGCGGGGGGCTGGACCCCGGGTGGGGACCCCGGCTGAGCCTCCCTCCCCTTCTCCCCCAGATCTACAATGGGACCCTCCAGCGGGAGGGTGACAGCAGGCGCTTCAGCTCCTACAGCCAGATGGAGAGCTGGGGCCGGCAGTACCCACGGGGCAGCTGCACCGCGCCGGGCGCCGGCAGCGACATCTGCTTCATGCAGAAGATCAAGGCCAGCCGCAGCGAGCCTGACCTCTACTGCGACCCCCGGGGCACCCTACGCAAGGGCACGCTGGGCAGCAAGGGCCACAAGACCACCCAGAACCGCTACAGCTTCTACAGCACGTGCAGCGGCCAGAAGGCAGCCAAGAAGTGCCCGGGGCGTCCGCCCTCCTGCACCTCCAAGCAGGACCCCGTGTGCGTCCCGCCCACCTCCTGCACCAAGGACCTGTCCTTCAGCCACTCCAGGGCCAGCTCCAAGTGAGTACCCACGGCGAGGGGCGGGCGGGGCCGCGGGGGACCGACTGCTGGCCCGGGCTGCTCAGCCTGCAGGGGGAGGCAGAATCCGGACCCCGAACAGAGGCATCAAGTGTGTGGGTTGATTTTAAGGGGTCTCGGGTGATGAACGGGGGAGTAGGGAAGTGAGGGGCTGGCTGGGCCAGTGATTCTCAAAGTGTGTGCCTCTGACCACCAGCCTCGGCGTCGCCAGGAAGCTTTTGAGGAAAGCTCCTCGGCAGGCTGCCTAGACCTCCGACTCAGGGACCCTGTTGGGCCTGCAGCATGCCTCACCAGCCTGCAGGCAGTGCAGACTCTGTCGAGGCTTGAGACTCCCTGGACTTGGGGGTTAATGCTCTCCCCACTTTCTGAAAGAGCAAAGGAGTGTGCCCCAGGGTCGATGACGAGAAAGGGGTGGGGTCCGTCTTACAGGGCAGAGGACAGAAGCCAGCAGGATCCAGCACAGCGGGCGGGGCCCGTGGAGAGCCCCGGGGACGGCCACTGAGGCCCGCGGAGAGCCCTGGGGACGGGACGGCCGCCGGGGCCCGTGGAGAGCGTTGGGCACAGGCCAGCTTGGTGACGGCCACTGGGTCTCGAGGGTCGCCCTTGGGCCCCATGAACCTCAGAGCTGTACTCGGTCCCCACCAGAGTCCTGTACGCATTTCCTTGACATCTGCTGAGCGTGGATGGGCAGAGCAGGGAGACGGCATGGACTGAACCGCCGGGGCCGCCTGCAGCTGTGGGGTTAACTGCCTTCCGCAAGGCCTGGGGGCACTGCAGTCTTCGTGTCTGACCCCCAGAGCCCTTCCAGGCTAGGACCTGGGGAGAGACGGACTCAGAGGTGCCAGGTAGCTCACCCAAGGCCACGCCTCTGCTCACCGCTGTCCTGGGCCTTATGGAGCTGGCCCTCTGATGGCTGCCTGGAGGCCACATGGGTACTTAGGAGTCTCTGGAGAAGGACTGAGAGAATGTCTCCCTTGGAGACGGACCAGGGCCTCATCTGGCCCCGCCTCATTTCCCCAAACTGGAGGCCCCAAGAGGACAGGATTGGGCATGAGTGGCAGGCCGTGTGGAGGTGAGGTCTGCCCTGCAGATGCTGGGCGGTGTTCTCCCAATGCGGCGGGTACCACTGATGGAGGTCCAGGAGCTCCTCTCTGGAGGCGGTCTTTCCAGAAACGGAGTCGGGTGCCTGCAGTGGAAGGGCGTGAGGCTGGGACTCACGAGGCATGGGCTGTTCTAGAAATGCTGGGAGGATTTCTAGGGGAGGGGCCTGGGGCCAGGAAGAGGCTGCCCAGCTGTCTGTGGGAACCAGAGGCCAGGAACGTGGCCTGCCGTCAGCACTGTGGGAGCTGGAGCAGATCCTGGAAGGAGGCCTCCTTTTCCCAGGGGGGCTCCCAGCCTGGGGTCTGCAGTGAGGGGAAGGGACAGAGGCACCCAGGCCTGATCAGGGTGCAGCGTGGAGTGCAGTCTTGCTGGAGCAGACACGAGTTCAGGCTGGGAGTGTGTGAGTCGTGGCAGAACCAGACTGTTGGGTTAGAACAGGATGGTTCTAGTTCTGTGGCTCCAAAAACGTGGGTTATTGGCCATTTTGTATGGTTCGACCTAACGCATGCCCTTGGGTATCAGTCTCAGTTTGAGTCTGAACTTGAACTTACAGTATGGAGAAGCTGCTGATGGGGACAGCTCAGCAAACAGGGTGTCAACCGCTCATCTGGGAACGGGTGTTACACTTCGGGTGGGCCTGAGTGCTCAGAGAAGACAGCCACTGGGGGTGGGTCTTGCTGTCGTCCCAGTGAGAGTGACTGTGGTCAGGAGGAAGGCAGTGGCCGTGAGGATGGGAGGAGGAGCAAGTGTGAGAATGTTTGTGTTAGAAAAATCAGCTCAACTTGGAAATGGAGGGAGGAGGAAGAGAGGGACGCAGGGGTGGATGGCTAGATGAATGGATGAAGGGATAGAGGGAAAATGGATGGTAGATGGATGGATGATGGATGGAGGGATGGATGGAAGATGGACAGCAGATTGCAGGAAGATGGATGACTGATGCAGGAGAGGAAGATGGGGGGATGGATGGGTGGAGGGAAGATGGACAGTTGATGGAGGGAAGATTGATGATGGATGATGGATAATGGATGGATGGAGGGATGAATGGAGGATGGACAATAGATTGAGGGAACATGGACAGTGGATGGATGCATGATGGATGGATGGAGGGAAGATGGACAATAGATTGAGGGAAGATGGGTGATGGATGATGGTTGATGGAGGGATGCAGGAGAGGAAGATGGGGGATGGATGGGTGGAGGGCGGGAGGAGGGGTGATGGAGGGGTGCAGACAGATGCACAGGCTCCCAGCATTCTCCTCTGTTTTCCCAGCACCAGGCACACACATGAGAGATGGCAGGGTGGGTGGGCGCTTCCCCTCAGGAGTAGGGCAGAGCTTCTTCTCAGCACAGAGGTGACTTCTCCGCTTGGAATGACCGGTGACCAGGGTCTCATCCCTGCAAATGCTCGCTGCAGGGTGAGCCGTCCGCTGCTCTGGGGGAGCTATCCACCGTGGGAGCGGGGCCAGCCCCTTCCATCTCTGGGGCGGGCACAGGGAGAGCCCCTGAAACCCTCTGGCCCACCCATGCCCACAGGATCTGCAGTGAGGACATTGAGTGCAGCGGGCTGACCATCCCCAAGGCTGTGCAGTGCCTGAGCTCCCAGGACGAGAAGTGCCAGGCCATCGGGGCCTACTACATCCAGCACACCTGCTTCCAGGACGAAGCTGCCAAGCAGCAGGTCAGTGGCCGGGGGGCTGCCTGAGCCTGCTCCGAGCCGGGGGGGCGTTTGCTGTTGGCTCCTCATCCCCCTGCCCAGCTGCCCAAGGCTGGGAGTGTGCCCGGCATGCCCAAGGTCAGGGGGGCTGTCTGCAGGGGACCCCACTCAGCCGGTGGTCGTAGAAGAGACCCTGGAGTGACAGCCATGGGCTCAAAGGGAGCCCCTCCTCAAATTCACTACGGAGAGGACGGCTTCCTCCCCTTCAGCTTCAGCCCTACCCTCTGATTCTCTCTCTCTCTCTCTGTCTCTGTCTCTCTCTGTCTGTCTCTCCCGTGGTTGAGAGCAGTGTGTCTGTGCCCCTGAGCATGGCCGGCAGGAAGGCCTCCTCGTGGCCCTGTGAAGCGGGCAGACTCCTAGTGCGGGCGGGGTCCGTGTGCACGCAGCCCCTGCCACAGTGGGAGGTGTCCCCACGGGGGTCCCCCGGCCTCAGGACTCTGAAGCGAGCCCCGTGCGGTCCTCACCGCAGGCGCCCGGGAGGGGCACAGGGCTCGGGGACGGGCTGAGGGCTCCCGGTGAGGCAGCAGGGCGCACTGTCCAGCGCTGCCTCAGGCCCCTGCGTCTCCCCAGGCTGCCCGTCCGTCTGGGCGGCGCTGGGCGATTGGCTCAGAGTGGCGCGGCTCCGGGCGGCGGGTCTCCAGCCCGGCCTGAGCCCCGCCTGGCGCGCTTTCCCGCAGGTGTACCAGCTGGGCGGCATCTGCAAGCTGGTGGACCTGCTCCGCAGCCCCAACCAGAACGTGCAGCAGGCCGCGGCCGGGGCTCTGCGCAACCTCGTGTTCCGCAGCACCGCCAACAAGCTGGAGACGCGGCGGCAGAACGGCATCCGCGAGGCGGTCAGCCTCCTGAGGAGGACCGGGAGCGCAGAGATCCAGAAGCAGCTGACCGGTGGGGGCCCGGCCGCGGGGGCGGGGCGAGCGGGGGGCAGCCTCAGGCGGACACTCAGGCCAGTGCTGGCCAGGCTAGTCGTGCCCAGCTGGTGCCCTGGGTACTGGGTCCCTCTGTCCGTCCATCGACCGCCCTTGCGGTCTGAGGTGTCTGAGGAGAGAGGGCAGTGTGTCCAAGCGGCATCTGTGTTCGGAGAGACGGAGACCGGCAGAAGACCCCGAGGGGTCGGAGCTTTGGGTCAGCCGTGTGTGTCACATAGACCCGCACAGAGAACCCCCAGCGCTCCGCCCCCGAGACGCTGCTGTCTGGCTGGAACGTGGGGTCGGGGGCTGGCAAGCCGCACGGCAGTCTGGGGGCGGGGTCCAGCGGGGGCGGGGTCCAGTGGGCGGGGTTCAGTGGGGGCGGGGTCCAGCGGGCGGGGTTCAGTGGGCGGGGTCCAGCGGGGGCGGGGTCCAGTGGGCGGGTCCAGTGGGCGGGGTCCAGCGGGGGCGGGGTCCAGCGGGGCGGCCCTGGGCCCTGGTCCTGCTGAGCCCGCGGTCCCCCAGGGCTGCTCTGGAACCTGTCCTCCACCGACGAGCTGAAGGAGGAGCTGATCGCCGAGGCGCTGCCCGTGCTGGCTGACCGCGTCATCGTCCCCTTCTCGGGCTGGTGCGACGGCAACAGCAACCTGCCCCGGGAGCCCGTGGACCCCGAGGTCTTCTTCAATGCCACCGGCTGCCTGAGGTGAGGCGGGGTCCAGCCGGCCAAGCCCAGGCTCAGAGGGGCTGGGGGCGAGGGCCTGGATGAGGCTTGGGACCCCCCACCTGCACCAGGGGGGCCTGAGCCAGGAGTCTGAGTGGAGACGGGTGGGTCTGAATGTCTGAACTGGCTCCGCCGGCCGCCCGCCCGCTCCGCACAGCCCTGGCTGTTGCACTCCTGAGGAGCGTCTTTGGGATGCTCATGTACTGACGCCCCATTGCGTCACCTCCTGGCTGTGACGCTAACAGCATCTGCCGTGTTCCCTGGCATGAGGAGGGCACTGCTTTGGCCAGGACTTCCTGGGTTTCGCCTCAGCCCGTGACAAAGGCCCGGGGGGCTGCAGGGGGTGGGACTCTCCTCTAGGGGTGGGGGTGGTGGGTACGGCCGAGGAGCAGACCGCGCTCAGGGTCACACCTCCCTCTAACAGCAGCCTCTGGGGAGGTGCAGAGCCAGGGTCATGGAGGCCTTAATGGGGCAGCCACAGCCAAACCCCACCTGCGCCAGGCAGGGGCGCCCAGGCAGCCCAGGGGTGAGCCCCGTGCTGGGGTCAGGACACCGCCTCCAGGGAGCCTCCAGGCAGGGCCAGGCGGGTGGAGCCCCGGGCCCTGCCCAGAACGTGCCCCGAGGTTCAGTGTGTGCCAGGCTGCCAGCGGCATCAGAGCCCGGGACACACAGCAGCTCCGGGCATGGAGCCCGGCGGGCACAGAGGAGGGCGGAGGAGGCCAGGGAGACCCCAGCCCGGCCTCAGCCAGGCCTGAGAAGAGCGCGGTCCTCATCTTCTTCCCTCAGTTTCTGTCCTCTCTCCCCGCCCTCCTGTCCCACCACAACCTCCGACCCCTCCCCGTGACCTCCGCCCCTCCCCATACCTCCACCCCCATGACCTCTACCCCTCCCTGTGACCTCTGCCCCTCCCCATGACCTCCACCCTCCCCGTATCCTCCACTCCCTTCCTGTGACCCCTACCCCTCCCTATGACCTCCACCCTCTCCCCATGACCTTCACCTTCTCCCTGTGACCTCTGCCCCCTCCCCATGACCTGCACCCTCCCCATATTCTCCACTCCCTTCCTGTGACTTCCACCCCATCCCTATGACCTCCACCACCATGACCTCTGCACCTCCCCGTGACTTCTGCCCCTCCCGTGACCTCTGCTCCCTCCCCGTGACCTCCACCCCTCCTCATGACCTCCACTAGGAACTTGAGCTCCGCAGATGCCGGCCGCCAGACCATGCGCAACTACATGGGGCTCATCGACTCGCTCATGGCCTACGTCCAGAACTGCGTGGCAGCCAACCGCTGTGACGACAAGGTGAGTGTGGCCCAGAAGGCCCGCAGAGCCGCGTGCCCACCCACACCGCACACCTGCGCAGACAGGCAGAAGGGCCGACGGTGGTGGGAAGGGGCACAGAGGCTACAGTCTGCCCACACGGCCGGAGGAGAGAGCCGTCCCCAGGGGCTGGCCGGGCATCGCTACCCCTGGGTCCCACGCACGCTTTCCCTGGAGAGGACTCTGCCTCCTGCTCCTTTGTCAACTGTGACCACAGGCCTCAGGAGAGAGCCGTCTCCAGGGCACCGGGGAGGGGCGGAGGACACGGGGAGGGGTGGAGGTCACAGTGAGAAGGTGAAGGTCATGGGAAGGGGGCGGAGGTCACAAGGACAGGTTGAGGGCATGGTGGGAGAGGAAGGAGGGGAGAGAGGAGGACCGAATAGAAGAGAGAAGCATATGAGGCCCCAGGAAGGAGGGAAACCTTTCGGGCGGGGAGGTCCTGAGACTCGAAGGCTTTGAGGAGGAGTTCAGGGTCGCTCTTGCAGGCTGTCTCCAGAGCCAGGCCGGCCGTGGGCACGCTGCCGGGGCAGCAGGGATGGTGGCCGCGGCCTGTGTCTGCTGCCAACCAGGCCTCCTGTAGGTGCCTCCTTGGGGGTCATCTCCCCGGGAGCCCCGGGAAGCAGGCAACTTTGGTCCCATTTCAGAGCTGAGGAAGCTGAGGCCCAGGAGGGGCGGGCGGGTCACTGGTGCTCACACAGCCGCCGGGGCAGGGCCGCACGCACAGTCCCGGGCAGCCGGGTGGGGGCCTTCCCCGGCCAGGCCAGGCGCTCAGGGGCGGGCAGAGGCTCAGGCTGTCTCTGCTCGGCCCCCAGTCAGTGGAGAACTGCATGTGCGTCCTTCACAACCTCTCCTACCGCCTGGACGCCGAGGTGCCCACACGCTACCGCCAGCTGGAGTACACCGCCCGCAACGCCTACACTGATAAGTCCTCCACCGGCTGCTTCAGCAACAAGAGCGACCGCATGACGGTGAGTGCCCGCGGCCCCCGCGGCCCCCGCGGCCCCGTCCACCCGCCCACCCGCGGAACCCGAGACCGGCCCCCAGGGAGGGGCCCTGCCCCGCCTGGCCACGGGCCCCACTGCACCAGGAGCAGGGAGCACCTCATCTCCCCCACGACACAGGCCCTGCGTGCTCGCGGGGATGGAGTCGAAGCCGCCTGCGGGCAGGCCTCCTCTCCCCTGTCTTCTCCCTCGGTCCTGATGGTGGGGGTCAGCCTGGTGCCCACCGCCTCCTGAGCTCCCAGGGCTCCTAGAAGCAGAGAGATACTGGGAAGGAAGGGCTGGCCGCCTCTGGGCATGCCGTGCAAGCTGGGCCCTGGGCCACCCCTGCTGGCCTGGGGAGTGAGGGAGGCATCCCCATGTGAGAGCCACAGCCTCACAGTGGAGGCGGGGGCCCAGCTGGCCGGGAGCGCAGAGACGGCTCTGTGCCCGCCGAGAGGGCAGAGGGCCTGGGGGAGGGGGCAGCGGGCACACCCTCCTCTGGGAACCAGGACTCTGAGGCCAGGGGAATACTTAGGATGCTCTGTGCCTGTGCAGAGGGCAGAGGGCCTGGGGGACGGGGCAGCGGGCACACCCTCCTCCAGGAACCACGACTCTGAGGCCGGAGGAGAAGGGTGCATGGGTTCAGCCCCGCAACCTTCCTCTTGTCCCCAGAACAACAACTACGACTGCCCACTTCCTGAGGAAGAGCCCAACCCCAAGGGCAGCAGCTGGCTGTACCACTCAGATGCCATCCGCACCTACCTGAACCTCATGGGCAAGAGCAAGAAGGATGCCACCCTGGAGGCCTGCGCGGGTGCCCTGCAGAACCTGACTGCCAGCAAAGGGCTGGTGAGCGCCCCCGCCTCGCCCCACCTGTCTCTCCTCCCTGGTCTGAGCCCGGCTGCCCCTTGCACCAGCCTGCCTCAGTCAGGGAGGGATGTGCGCTGGGCTTCAGGCCAGGCACGGGGCAGCTGAGGGGCCGGCACCCTGTCTATGCTGTAGGGTCCCCTCTGCCTCCTGGCTCCCGGCCCAGACTGGGTCAGGCTGTGAACGGTCTGCTGCGTGCTGAGCGGAGAGAGGTGGACGTGGAGGGTTTGGGGTGTGGGCAGGTCCCGAGAAAAGTGTGGCGGAATTGGGAAATCACTGAGGCCAGAGGCAGTCTGGGGACATGGTGGAATTGGGGGTGGTAGGAGGCAGGTCTGCAGCTGCCCTTCCACCCTCTCTGCTCAGGACAGAAGAGAGTCGGGCAGGAGGGGGTGAGGGTGCACTCAGGGTCAAAGAGGACCCCCCACTGTTAGAGGATGGGCCTGGACCAGGTTATGGCCAGCGTGGCTTTCCCGCCAGGGGCCTGATGGGCTGCCGGTCCTCTCGGGGACCCCGGGTTGCATCTCCAAGCTGCACAGGCCCATTCATCCACCCTCGACCCGACACTCAGCACAGAGGCAGCAAGCCAGCAGGAGACGGGCGGCCCTTCCTTAGGTGGCAGGGACCCTCGACTCCAGGCTTCAGGCAACCAGAGAGCTGGGGAGCGGGAGGGAGGCCAGGCAGCAGCCACGAGAACCGGTCACGCCTGGGAGTTGATTCTGGGCCCCTCCCACGGGGGACGAGGGGCAGGGATGCCCCTCATCAGACCCGCTGGGCTCAGGCTGCCCCCAGCGAGCTGCAGGTGTGTTTGCCTGGGGGATTGTTCTGCAGTCGCCCAGGTGGGAGCAAACATGAGTCTGTCTGCTTCCAACATGGAAGAGGCAGTTCTGGGGCCCCCTCCTGCCTGCCATGGGCCCGGGGAAGCCCAGCAAGGGCCTCGCTCGTCCTCTTTCCCAGATGTCCAGCGGCATGAGCCAGCTGATCGGGCTGAAGGAGAAGGGTCTGCCCCACATCGCCCGCCTGCTGCAGTCCGGCAACTCGGATGTGGTGCGGTCCGGAGCCTCGCTGCTGAGCAACATGTCCCGCCACCCGGCGCTGCACAGGGTGATGGGTGAGCGCCCCCTGCGGGAGGGACCCCACTCTCCAGAGCCTGCTAGGAAGTCCCCCTCTGACCTCTCCCTGGGGGAGCATCCTGGAAGGGGAAGCTGGCCCAAGAGCGGCTTGGGCATAGGAAGGGGCAGGTCACCTGGGTGGGGAGCAGGTGCATAGGTTCCATCGGGCCACCAGCCTTGAGTGGGAGGTACCTGGCTGGGAGCCTGGCTGAGGGCAGCCTCGGACTGGGCCTCACGGGACCCCTCGGTCACTGACCCCGTGCCCGCCCCTCCTTTCTCTCCCAGGGACCCAAGTGTTCCCAGAGGTGACCAGACTCCTCACCAGTCACACCGGCAACACCAGCAACTCGGAGGACATCCTGGCCTCGGCCTGCTACACCGTGAGGAACCTGATGGCCTCCCTGCCGGGCATGGCCAAGCAGCACTTCTCCAGCAGCATGATCAACAACGTCATCAACCTGTGCCGCAGCAGGTAGGGAGCCGCGGGGGGACCTGCGGGTGGGGGAACCATAGGTGAGGGAACGATAGGTGGGGGGACTGCAGGTGGGGGGACCACAGGTGGGGGAACCATAGGTGAGGGAACTATAGGTGGGGGGACTGCAGGTGGGGGAACTGCAGGTGGGGGAACCATAGGTGAGGGAACTATAGGTGGGGGCACTGCAGGTGGGGGGACCACAGGTGGGGGAACCATAGGTGAGGGAACTATAGGTGGGGGGACTGCAGGTGGGGGAACCACAGGAGGGGGAACCATAGGTGAGGGAACTATAGGTGGGGGGACTGCAGCTGGGGGTTCCACAGGAGGGGGAACCATAGGTGAGAGAACTATAGGTAGGGGGACTGCAGGTGGGGGAACCATAGGTGAGGGAACTATAGGTGGGGGGACTGCAGGTTGGGGAACCATAGGTGAGGGAACTATAGGTAGGGGGACTGCAGGTGGGGGAACCACAGGTGGGGGAACCATAGGTGAGGGAACTATAGGTGGGGGGACTGCAGCTGGGGGTTCCACAGGAGGGGGAACCATAGGTGAGAGAACTATAGGTAGGGGGACTGCAGGTGGGGGAACCATAGGTGAGGGAACTATAGGTGGGGGGACTGCAGGTGGGGGAACCATAGGTGAGGGAACTATAGGTGGGGGGACTGCAGGTGGGGGAACTCCAGGTGGGGGAACCATAGGTGAGGGAACTATAGGTGGGGGGACTGCAGGTGGAGGAACCATAGGTGAGGGAACTATAGGTGGGGGGACTGCAGGTGGGGGAATTCCGGGTGGGGGAACCATAGGTGAGGGAACTATAGGTGGGGGGACTGCAGGTGGGGGGACCACAGGAGGGGGAACCATAGGTGAGGGAACTATAGGTGGGGGGACTGCAGGTGGGGGAACCATAGGTGAGGGAACTATAGGTGGGGGGACTGCAGGTGGGGGGACCACAGGAGGGGGAACCATAGGTGAGGGAACTATAGGTGGGGGGACTGCAGGTGGGGGAACCATAGGTGAGGGAACTATAGGTGAGCGAACTATAGGTGGGGGGACTGCAGGTGGGGGGACCACAGGAGGGGGAACCATAGGTGAGGGAACTATAGGTAGGGGGACTGCAAGTGGGGGAACTGCAGGTGGGGGAACCATAGATGAGGGAACTATAGGTGGGGGGACTGCAGGTGGGGGGACTCCAGGTGGGGGAACCATAGGTGAGCGAACTATAGGTGGGGGGACTGCAGGTGGGGGGACCACAGGAGGGGGAACCATAGGTGAGGGAACTATAGGTGGGGGGACTGCAGGTGGGGGAACTCTAGGTGGGGGGACTGCAGGTTGGGGAACTACCAGTGGGGGAACAATAGGTGAGGGAACTATAGGTGAGGGGGACTGCAGGTGGGGGAACTATAGGTGGGAACTGCAGGTGGGGGGGAACTGCAGGTGGGGGGATCTCCAGGTGGGGCACTGCAGGTGGGGGAACTACCAGTGTGGGAACTGCAGGTTGGGGGGAACTGCAGGTGGGGGGACCATAGGTGAGGGAACTATAGGTAGGGGGACTGCAAGTGGGGGAACTGCAGGTGGGGGAACCATAGGTGAGGGAACTATAGGTGGGGGGACTGCAGGTGGGGGGACCACAGGAGGGGGAACCATAGGTGAGGGAACTATAGGTGGGGGGACTGCAGGTGGGGGGACCACAGGAGGGGGAACCATAGGTGAGGGAACTATAGGTGGGGGGACTGCAGGTGGGGGAACCACAGGAGGGGGAACCATAGGTGAGGGAACTATAGGTGGGGGGACTGCAGTGGGGGGACTCCAGGTGGGGGAACCATAGGTGAGCGAACTATAGGTGGGGGGACTGCAGGTGGGGGAACTGCAGGTGGGGGAACCATAGATGAGGGAACTATAGGTGGGGGGACTGCAGGTGGGGGGACTCCAGGTGGGGGAACCATAGGTGAGCGAACTATAGGTGGGGGGACTGCAGGTGGGGGGACCACAGGAGGGGGAACCATAGGTGAGGGAACTATAGGTGGGGGGACTGCAAGTGGGGGAACTGCAGGTGGGGGAACTACCAGTGTGGGAACTGCAGGCTGGGGGGAACTGCAGGTGGGGGAACCATAGGTGAGGGAACTATAGGTGGGGGGACTGCAGGTGGGGGAACTCTAGGTGGGGGGACTGCAGGTTGGGGAACTACCAGTGGGGGAACAATAGGTGAGGGAACTATAGGTGAGGGGGACTGCAGGTGGGGGAACTATAGGTGGGAACTGCAGGTGGGGGGGAACTGCAGGTGGGGGGATCTCCAGGTGGGGCACTGCAGGTGGGGGAACTACCAGTGTGGGAACTGCAGGTTGGGGGGAACTGCAGGTGGGGGGACCATAGGTGAGGGGACTATAGATGGGGGGGATTGCAGGTGGGGGGACTCCAGGTGGGGGGAGCTCCAGGTGGGGGGAGCTTCAGGTGGGGGGACTGCAGGTGGGGGAACCATAGGTGAGGGAACTATAGGTAGGGGGACTCCAGGTGGGAGGACTGCAGGTGGGGGAACTACCAGTGTGGGAACTGCAGGCTGGGGGGAACTGCAGGTGGGGGAACCATAGGTGAGGGAACTATAGGTAGGGGGACTCCAGGTGGGAGGACTGCAGGTGGGGGAACTACCAGTGTGGGAACTGCAGGTTGGGGGGAACTGCAGGTGGGGGAACCATAGGTGAGGGGACTATAGATGGGGGGACTGCAGGTGGGGGAACCATAGGTGGGGGAACTGCAGGTGGGGGAACCATAGGTGAGGGAACTATAGGTGGGGGGACTGCAGGTGGGGGAACTCCAGGTGGGGGGACTGCAGGTGGGGGAACCATAGGTGAGGGAACTATAGGTGGGGGGACTGCAGGTGGGGGAACCATAGGTGAGGGAACTATAGGTGGGGGGACTGCAGGTGGGGGAACCATAGGTGAGGGAACTATAGGTGGGGGGACTGCAGGTGGGGGAACTCCAGGTGGGGGAACCATAGGTGAGGGAACTATAGGTGGGGGGACTGCAGGTTGGGGAACCATAGGTGAGGGAACTATAGGTAGGGGGACTGCAAGTGGGGGAACTGCAGGTGGGGGAACCATAGGTGAGGGAACTATAGGTGGGGGGAATGCAGGTGGGGGGACCACAGGAGGGGGAACCATAGGTGAGGGAACTATAGGTGGGGGGACTGCAGGTGGGGGAACCATAGGTGAGGGAACTATAGGTGGGGGGACTGCAGGTGGGGGGACCACAGGTGGGGGAACCATAGGTGAGGGAACTATAGGTGGGGGGACTGCAGGTGGGGGAACCATAGGTGAGGGAACTATAGGTGGGGGGACTGCAGGTGGGGGAACCATAGGTGAGGGAACTATAGGTGGGGGGACTGCAGGTGGGGGAACTCCAGGTGGGGGAACCATAGGTGAGGGAACTATAGGTGGGGGGACTGCAGGTGGGGGAACCATAGGTGAGGGAACTATAGGTAGGGGGACTGCAAGTGGGGGAACTGCAGGTGGGGGAACCATAGGTGAGGGAACTATAGGTGGGGGGACTGCAGGTGGGGGGACCACAGGAGGGGGAACCATAGGTGAGGGAACTATAGGTGGGGGGACTGCAGGTGGGGGGACCACAGGAGGGGGAACCATAGGTGAGGGAACTATAGGTGGGGGGACTGCAGGTGGGGGAACCACAGGAGGGGGAACCATAGGTGAGGGAACTATAGGTGGGGGGACTGCAGTGGGGGGACTCCAGGTGGGGGAACCATAGGTGAGCGAACTATAGGTGGGGGGACTGCAGGTGGGGGAACTGCAGGTGGGGGAACCATAGATGAGGGAACTATAGGTGGGGGGACTGCAGGTGGGGGGACTCCAGGTGGGGGAACCATAGGTGAGCGAACTATAGGTGGGGGGACTGCAGGTGGGGGGACCACAGGAGGGGGAACCATAGGTGAGGGAACTATAGGTGGGGGGACTGCAAGTGGGGGAACTGCAGGTGGGGGAACCATAGGTGAGGGAACTATAGGTGGGGGCACTGCAGGTGGGGGAACTGCAGGTGGGGGAACCATAGGTGAGGGAACTATAGGTGGGGGGACTGCAGGTGGGGGAACTCCAGGTGGGGGAACCATAGGTGGGGGAACCATAGGTGAGGGAACTATAGGTGGGGGGACTGCAGGTGGGGGAACTCCAGGTGGGGGGACTGCAGGTGGGGGAACTACCAGTGTGGGAACTAGAGGTGGGGGGGACTGCAGGTGGGGGGACTGCAGGTGGGGGGAGCTCCAGGTGGGGGGAGCTTCAGGTGGGGGGACTGCAGGTGGGGGAACTACCAGTGTGGGAACTGCAGGTTGGGGGGAACTGCAGGTGGGGGAACCATAGGTGAGGGGACTATAGATGGGGGGAGCTCCAGGTGGGGGGAGCTCCAGGTGGGGGGAGCTCCAGGTGGGGGACTGCAGGTGGCGGAACTACCAGTGTGGGAACTAGAGGTGGGGGGACTGCAGGCGGTCGGGGGTGGGGTGGAGGGGGCAGAGCAGCAGGGCTGCAGCAGGCAGTGTGGAGGGTGGCGGGGCCCTGCAGAGTGGGAGTTGGCGGGGAGGCCCGAAGGAGGGAGGCTCCAGAAGCTGAGGCCTCACTCTCAGACCCTGGGCGCGCGTCCTAGCCAGGAACCAGGGGACGCTGAGTGCGGTGGGCCAGCAGGAGGTGGCAGCAGCAGCAGGCCCAGCTGGGCAGGACTTATCTGGTCCACGGAGCTCTGTCATCCCAGGACAAGGCCAAGGGACAGGGAGGGAGCCCCAGAGAGGGTCCCGGGCACCTCTGAGCGGGCGGAGCTGCGGGGTGTGCCACTGTGAGGAGTGCCCGCCAGCGGGGCTGCCCCAGGAGGAGTGAGGGGGCGGGCAGAGGGCTGGCTCGCCCTCAGGCGGCCAGCCTCAGCGCCGGTGAACTTCCGCCCCACAGCACCTCCCCCAAGGCTGCGGAGGCCGCCCGCCTCCTCCTGTCCGACATGTGGTCCAGCAGGGAGCTGCAGGGGCTCCTCAGGCAGGTAAGGCCTCACCCCGCCTGGCCCTGCCGGCGAGCTCGCCCACGCTGCCTGGCTCTGCCGCGGGAGGGGGAGGCCGGCGCCTCATGACGCGGTCCCGGGGCTGACCTCGGCCCCAGGCCGAGGAGGTGTGGTGGGCAGGGTCGTCAGGGAAGCATGCTGGGGGCAGCCTCTGAGCGTGGGGATGCCGTGGCGCCTGCCCCCGGGTGTCTCACGCAGCTGCTGTCTCTCCCACAGCAAGGTTTTGATAGGAGCATGCTGGGGACCTTAGCCGGGGCCAACAGCCTCAGGAACTTCACCTCCCGATTCTGAGAGGGGCCGCCCGCCCACATTCAGCTTGCAGGTGAGAATCGCCCCCTCTGGGGCAGGGGCACCTCCAGGCCCCCTGCCGCGGTCCCGGCCAGCCTCAGAGAGAGGGGCCCGGCCCTGCTCCCCAGGGACACAGAAGCAGGCTCCGGTCTGGCTGACGGAAGGTCTGTGAGGACAGCCATGTCGACTGCCTGGGCAGTGACTGTCCCACACAGGACATTCAGTTCAGTTCAGTTTAGTTCAGTCACTCAGTTGTGTCCGACTCGGCGACCCCATGGACTGCAGCATGCCTGGCCTCCATGTGCATCGTGAACTCACGGAGTTTACTTAAACTCATGTCCATTGAGTCAGTAAGGCCATCCAACCATCTCATCCTCTGTGGTCCCCTTCTCCTCCTGCCTTCAGTCTTTCCCAGCATCAGGGTCTTTTCTGATGAGTCAGTTCTTCACATCAGGTGGCCAAAGTACTGGAGCTTCAGCTTCAGCATCAGTCCTTCCAGTCAGTATTCAGGACGGATTTCCTTTAGGATGGACTGGTAGTATCAACAGGCCAGAGGTCTGGCCAGAACTGCCAGGCACAGTCGTGTAGGTTGCTCACTGCACAACCCAGGTGGTACCACTCACATGGACTGCAGTGTGAATGGCACCCCAGCAATGACACAATGTGTGGTTCTGGGTTTGGGCGTCTGCAGTTCACCTCTTCTTACAGGCCATGGTCCAGTCTCTGCGGCGTGCCTAGTGTGGACAAGCTTGTTTCTAGCTGACAATTCTAGGGACCAAAAACTCAGATCCAGCATCCCTGACAAGGGCTTCTAAGCCTTAGCCTTCCTTCGGCTCACCTGGGATGCTTGCTCAACCACACACGCCTGGTCCCAACCCCAGCAGTCCTGACTCAGTGGCTCTGGAGTGAGGTCTAGGAAAATACATTTTAAACAAACATCCCACGGGATTAGGGCCACATTTTGATGCTCAGATTGGCCTGGTCAGCCCTGGAGGGTCAGCAGAGGTGGCCCCACCTGTGGAGAGCTAGGTATGAGGACAGGGCCTTCTGAGTTGAAGGGACCTCTGGGCGCCCCAGTGGCCCAGGGCGTGCTGTTGAGGCAGGGGCCACAACTTCAATCCAGACGAAGGTGCCCTCAGACCTCAGAACCTCCCCCCCAGCAGCAAATGCGTCCCAACAGCACAAGGACAGACACAGGGCCGAGACCAGCCAGCAGGCGCCTGACACTCACAGTCTGCCGCCGGGGTGGACACGTGGCCGTGGGGGGCTCTGATCCGATGGGGTGGACACGTGGGCGTGGGGGGCTCTCATCCGATGCAGGCACCCTGTGAACGTCTCAGGCGCGGCCCTGACCCCAGGCGCGGGCGCGCTGGGAGGGGACCGCTGGTGAGACCGGGTGCTCACTGGGGGTCTTCTCCTTTTCCAGACATGATCCGACCAGCGGAGCAGACCCGGGCCTTACTGCAGGCACGTCTGTCCACCTGCACAGCGTTTGGAGGTGTTCAAAGCCAGCCGAGAGCACGCAGGGACGCTGCGGTGGATGAAAATATTTTTAGATTCTTTCTTTTCCTTGGGGGAACTGACAGGCAGTGGGGGTGGGGGAGGGGAGCAGGGGGGCTTTCTTGAGTTAAGGGAGCTTATGTCTTGATGTTAATACTTCTTTCTCTGAGGAACGGCATATATACACATGTATAGTGTGTGTGTGAGTGCACGCGTGTGTGTGCGTGCATGTGTGTGGAAGGCAGGCCCTGGAACTGCAGGACTGGGGGAACTGCAGGCTGAGCTCACGGTGGTGGTGGGACTCACTCTCACAGACGCGGGTGACTGTGCTTGGGGTTTCGCTCCCCGTCATCCCGAAGTGTGGGTGCCACGGCCTCACCAGCACCAGGCCCACGGGGAGTCCTGCAGAGTCAGGGCGGGGGAGTGACTGGGGCTCATCCCTCCACCCACCCCAAGAGGCGGCTTTGCAGGAAGGGAGGTTGGCGGGGCTCAGTGTATCTCCTGGGAAATCTGGCGTGGCCGAGCGGCCCTCCCGCAGGGCCTGGGGCCAGGGCTGGGCGGCCGTGGGGTCCGCTGGGTGGGCCAGGACAGGCAGGCTGTCTTTGCTGTGTGCAGTCTTTCCGGAGAGTAGGTGCCAGGGGCGCCGACCGCTCCCGCGGGCCGTGTCCCATCAGAGCAGGCTCACCTGGGAGCCCTCCTCTGCAGGGGCGAGTAATCCACATGTTGGGGGGAAGGAGGCAGAGTGGTGGGAGAGCGGCGGCTCCATCCTCGGATTCCCAGCAGAGGAGCTGGCCCGCGTAGGCCAGGGGTTGACCCGTGGGTCCTGAGACCCGCTGAGACCCCAGCAAGGCAGGGTTTCGGAGGAGGGTGCTTGGCTAGGAAAGGGAGCTGTTGTGTCAGGGATCAGCCAGAGGCCGCCCCGCCTTCCCTGACGCCCAGCTGCCCGTGACAACTGCAGAGAGGGTGGTGAGAAGCCCGCCAGGGGCAGTGGCTCCCAGACCCCCAGACTCGCATGAGCATAGAGCAGGCCCCGGAGAGGGCTTGGCAAGAGCCCCCCCATTTGCGGGCTGAGACCGGGCAGGACACAGCGCCGCCTGGCCGCAGCCCCCCTGCCCAGCGGTGCCAGCGGCGATCAGTGGGGACTGGCCGCCTGGCCTTGCCCACGTCCCACCTCCTCCTGCCGCGTGTCCCCCCCCCTGCCCCCTGTCCAGCCCCACTGCTCACCCCGGCAGTCAGACCCCAGCCCCGAGGACCCCCCTGCCGCAGAGGACAGCTGGACTGGCCAGGTCGGGCGCAGACCCGCGATGGCCCGCCACGCAGCCGCGTGGTTCTCTGCTGCTGGGGTCTGTGCCACGTCCGCCCCGTCCCCCGTGATGCAGGCCTGCCTCCCTCACAGGCCCATGGGGAGCTGGTCCCAGAAGACCATTCCCTCTGCCACTCGCAGGGCCCTAGGGGAGTTTGTTTCTCCAAGAAACACGCGAGGAGCCAGGCGGTGTTGTCAGCCCTCAGGATACATCAGTGACGAGAGACCACACCCCATCCACGTGGCCCACGTTCTCCTGGAGGAAAGAGGGGCTCCGGGGTCCCCAGCTTTAGGGGTCCCCGGCTTTAGGGGCTCCAGGGAGAGAGAGCCGCTAGTCCAGTCAGGGCTAGAGGGAAGTAGCTGAGGAGCAGCGGGTCTGTGGCCGTGCTGGGGAGGGCCCCCGCCTCTGCCAGAGGGTGGCGTTTCAGTAGATCGGGTGGACAGTCAGGCCAGGCCTGGTTTAGCCATCTTGTGACTTCTGCTGCCGGCTGGCCAGGCTTGGAAGAGGCAGACCTTTGCAGGGTGGGTGGTGCTGTGGATGAAGCTCTAGAGAAGGAGCTCGGGGTCTGCGGGCCCAGCTTGGGCTGGAAGGATGTGTTGGCCTCACGCTGCCGGGCTCAACGCCCGAAACAGGATGGTCCAGTGGGGGAGGGCCCAGGCCACGAGGGTCTCCCTGTGCAGCCCCGACCCAGGGCTTACGGCGGACAGGCCACTGGCTGCCAGACCCACCTGGTGGGCCCTGCCCAGCAGCGCAGACCGCTCCCGGACCGGACGCAGAGCTGCTCCTGTCTGCCCGGGGCCAAGCGGAGCTGGGGGCATGGGAGGGAAAGGGGGATCCCTTTGCAGCCTGCTCCCCCCCGTGCCGTGTCTGGAAGAACCGGGCACTGGCCAGGCCCGTTTCCTGTGGGGTACACTGTGTGTTTGCTTTTTTGGAAATATAGGAAATCAATAAATTGCTGGCGTTTCTTTGAACATTGTCGAGCAGTGGATTACTGGGGGAGCCGCTGAGGCCCCAGGGGCCACTCACACCTCCCTGTGCAAGACGAGGACTCTGAGGTCCAGACTGGTGTGCTGGCCTTATCTTACAGATAAGTCCCCTTCGGGAGAGGACAGACGCACCCAACATCACACAGGTTGTCCAGGGAAGCACGTCCAGGAAGGCCCCTGGGAAGCGGACCTCGGGGCTGAAAGCGGAGCTTGCATTTCCTGAAGGCCTGTTCTCCCCGGGTCCTGCAGGACGGGCTGGGGGCCCCCGCCCCAAGAGGCTCATAAGGGATAGGACAGACACAGGGAACCTCCTCAGTCACAGGGCGGAAGCCCCAAGTGGTGGCGGGACTCGCGGCTGTGGGTTCCCCAGCTGGAGGGGCCTGGGAGGGCTTAGGGCAGGCTGGAGAGAGGACCCTTTCCAGCCTGGGAGGGCAGTGACCTTTCTGAGCCTGTGACTCTGAGCCCTAAGTCATCCCTCAGTTGGGGACAGTCAGCAAGGCCGGGAGGAGGACAGGGCCTCAGCTCTCGGGGGGGCGGGGGCGGAGAAGACCACCTGTGTGGGGCCCAGACTGTTGACGCTCTGGGTCTGGAGCCTCCAAAATGTGAGGTCAAACTGCAGATTTGAAGTCAATACATGCTTAATTGGTGAACTGCCATTAAAGCAAGGGCTTCCCAGGTGGCCCCGTGGTAAAGAACCGCCTTCAATGCAGGAGACACGGATTTGAACCCTGGGTCAGAAAGATCCCCTGGAGGAGGAAATGGCAGCCCACTTTAGTATTCCTGCCTGGAGAATCCCATGGACCAAGGAGCCTGGTGGGCTGCAGTCCATGGGATCGCAAAAGACTTGAACAGGCACTCACACATTAAAGCAAAGTGTACGCATGGGAAAGTACACAGCTTCAGGGCAGGCAGCTGTGTGACTCTCCACCCACCAAGCGCTGGCCCCCAGGTCAAATTCAGAGAGTGACCAGCTCCCCAAGGCCTTCAGGCCCCCCAGGGCCCTGTCCTCTGCCGCTCTGCCCTGCGGGCGCTGCTGAGAGACAGCCTATCCACAACGGCCCTGCGGTGCAGACGCAGTGTGGTCTGCTGCCCCATGTCCGGGGTGTGCAACCGCGGAGACCACATGTGCCCGGCGCTGCCTGAAGGGGACACGGTGTTGGAACGCACAGCGAGCTGTCGCGGACCCCAACTCCACGGGAGGTGGTGCGTTCGG